AGCTGTCAAGTTTCCCAGAAGAAGTGATTTCTGAGACATGCGAGAGGGACCGTGGGTTTTCGCCAGTGTGCGTACCCTTTCAGAGCCAAACCCGCTCAGTTCAAAGGGACGCAAAGGCATGTGTCGAGACGGCAGTCTCAAGACTTTCACCAAGGTACGAAACACCTCAACGCAGCAGGCGAAGCGTTTTTGCACTGCCCCAAAAGAAAAAACCACCGTGTCGCTGTTGCCTGAGCACTCCTGTCTCGATTTGCCTTGCCTTACGTGAGGCGAGATGAGGTCCTGTCATGGTTGCTGACTGCTCAAAGCTGAGTTACATAGGTTCCTTGGGTTTCGCTGCCTTCCATACGAAAGTCAGCACGCTGGAGTTGAGGACCCAAGCGCCGATTAAAACGTCAAAGGGAACCCTGCCCAGTTGCAGCAGCCACCAACCCCGCCCCCCGTTAAGTAAGGTGTGACTGCCTGCCTATCGGTGAGTCTCCTCCTACAATCGGGAAGCTGCCCGCCCGCCCGTCCGCCGCCCCGTCCACCCCACCTGACCTCTGTCCAACTTCCATTCTTGCTTCCGTCAGCCAGCCTTAGACGACAACTTGTTGATTGTACATCATTTGGATAACACCCACGAACCAGCCGTTCATTTCAATATCGAGCGGGACAATATCTGTGCGGTTGCTCATTTCCTGGACGTATCAAGGATCTTCTGGGGCCGCGCTTGATCTTTGCTCTGCGACTACAGCAACTGAACGCTCACCCCCTGTCGCTCGGTGACCGCTTCCCGGGGGCTTGTGGTGTTACGCTCAACATCTTGCCTCACTTTCCTGATATCTAGCTGGCTTCGTTCTGGTCAACATACGTGTATCCGGATCTCAAGTGAACTGAGGCCGAGAAATCAGCACCGTGAGGCCGAGAAAGAAATTAGGAAAAGGCCGACGACAGTTTGAGTCCACCCTGAATGACGGGGGCGAACTTGCGCAGGTATCTAGGCAGAAACTGACCAAACCGACACGGCAACACGGCAATACGATAAACACCAGTAGGCGAGGGCCACCAAGACGTGCGAGAAAGAAAAGGAAGCCGGAAATTTCAAAATGTCAAAAGACAAGACCCTCCGCATCTTTTGCTTCGGCGACTCACTGACGGCCGGATACTCGTCATACGGCGCTGTCTACCACCCCTACTCCATCGCCCTCACAAAGCTGCTCGCCGTATACCTATCCGACACGCAGATCGTGGCGACGGACAATGGCATGCCCGGGGATGTCGTTTCGCAGGGAGCCTTTGCGCAGCGTTTTGGGAGCGAGAGTTCGTACTTTTGCCTTTTCTTTTCTCATTCAATGTTTACTGCATCACCGCAATGTTCTGTCATGACTGCCTCGTCCCTCCTCTCATTTCATCTCATCTGCCCGAATTGTTCGAGATGAAATATTTGCTGATATCATATTATAGTGAGCCAAGCACAATATGACTGGGTGATCTTACTGGGAGGCACAAAGTACGTTCAACATGAAGGTAGATTGCCCTGTAAGCCGCCTCATGCTAACGAGATGCACCAGCGACCTTGCATTCAACGTGCCGCCAGATAGGATATTTGACTCTCTCCGGGGAGTATACGACTCCGCCATTGCCAAGGGTAGCAAAGTTCTTGCCTTGACAGTTCCCGAATGTGCAACCAAGAGTGAGAAGCTGGATGCCCGCCGGCGACAGCTTAACAACGCTATCCTCACCCATCAATCACCAAACTAGTACGTCTTGCCTTTCGCACTTACTCTTTCATTAAATGTTCTCCATCATCTCTCTTCCTGTTCAGAAGAAAATCAGACAGCAAACGTACTAATCACCAAACACCCAGCCACGCCTTCGACCTTAACCCGAGGATCCCATACCACGCCCTCACCGATCGGGAGTGCAAAAGGTACTGGGACGACGGCCTGCACCTGACACCAGCAGGCTACGACTGGATGGGCACGCACATTGCTGAGGCCATCCGCGACGTTGTAGAGCTCGAGCGGAATCCTCAATCTAAGAGAGCTCGTAGGGCGCGGCGCAACGCCGAGGAGCAAATCTCCTTTGACGAAGAGGACGGCGATCCACACTCGCTCAGCGAGGGTTACGTGGTCGTGCGGATGAGAGACTTGAACTAGATACCTTTTTTTCTTTAAGGCGAATATTGTTTCTACATCGTCGCCCCCTCTTATTCAGTCTAGCTCCTGTCTACTATGTGAGTCGAGCTAGGGTACGTGGCTGCTCCATGCTGACGTGCTTCTCTTCATTTGTGACATGCAGTGCGCTCTCTGTTGATCGCATGAATCCCTAAAACGCCAGTGTTTAGCCCGCTTTTTTACAACGCCGGTAGTGTGTATGAGTGTGTGTAAAGTTCAGTTCCGTCATAGTAATTCATCTCAAATGACCAGGTTGGCTTCCACGAATTCCTAAGTAGCTGTTAGTAGATAGTTCATCAAAGAGTATCCCAAAACGGAGGGGACAGACTCACGGGAAACTGTTTTTGCAGAGCATTGGTCACGTTCTCAACCTCCTCGGCCACGCTCTGCACATTCGCATCCCACCTCCGCATCTCCTTGCCGACAACGACCTCGGCGCGTCCGCTGCCCTTCTTCCCAGACGCCTCGCCGCCCTCGAACCAAATCACCTCGTCGAGCTGGTCGATCCGGCCGAGCAGCCGGCCCTGCTCAATCATGCGCGCCGTCGTCTCCTCGGCCTTTTCGGCGTCCAGGCCGAGCAGGGAGCCGAGCGCCTCGAAGCCAATGTTGCGGTACAGCCTCGACGCGCCGAGCAGGTTGTGCTCGACGACGGCTTTCGCCAGCACGGTGGACCCGTCGGCCGTGGTGGCGAGCTGGTGCGGCTGCAGGCCCTGCGCGAACTTGTCCACCTCCTCCGGGGCGAGCAGGCGGTCAAAGAACATCTTCTCCAGCATGCCGTGCTCGTCGAGACCCGCGGACCGCTCGTCCTTGTACAGCCGGCCCAGGGCGCGGCTCCGCATGGGACCGGCGGGGGCGAGGATTGCGCACTTTACGGCCATGCCGAGGGTGTGCAGGCGCTCCTCCTCTGCGATGGCGGGGCTGACGCTGATCTCGTGGTAGCGGCCGCTGGCGCCGAGGAAGTCGCGCTGGGAGTCGAGGATGCGTGCCATGGAGAGCTTGAAGTGGAGGTCGAGGTCGCGGTCCTGGACGGTGTGCATGATGTTCTTGAGCTTATTGACGTACGTCTCGGCGGCGGTGGTGTCGTCGACCTCGAGGTAGTTGCGGGCGATGCGGACCCAGACGCGGGCTTTGTCGTCGTTTGTGACTTTGCGCTGGGAGCCGTCAAGGGGGATCTCGGCGAGGACGTTGGCGGCGTCGAGGAAGTCCTCTGCGCTCTCGTGGGCCTCGGCGACGAGCTCGCGGACGGCGGCGGCCTGGTCGAGGAAGGAGGAGGGCTGGGTGGCGAGCTGGGCGAGGGTGTGGTTGCCGACGGCGATCCAGATGTCGTCGTTTTGGAGAGCGCGGAGGGCGGCGACGAAGGAGGCCAGGAGGGAGCGGGTGGAGACGATGCCGAGCGAGGCGGCAAAGATTGCGTCGAGGACGGCGTTGAGGTCGGACGCGGCTGTCGGAGGGGACGAGAGGGTCTTGATGTCGGCGATGATGGACTCGTAGGCCGGGGCCTTGTCGCCGGGGGCCGAATCGGCTTGGGCGAGCCGCTCGGCGACCTTTTGCGAGGGCGCCATGGTTTCGGTGTGTGCTGTGGTGTGTATGTCAAGCAATGAGTGATCAGTTGGTGTGGGATGTTAACTCGGGGTTGATACGGTGGGAGGAGGGTGCGTGTCTGAGCTTGTGCTTCTCAATGTTGGTGGTTGATCGTGAAGCCGTGGAGCTGTGGGAGCTGAGGTGAGCTCTCGGATGGTTGTCATTGATAGAGTTAGGCAGGCATGGTGGGGTAAGAGCTCTGAGGGGCCGTTGGAGGGGCGCCCCGTGCAGGGGCCGACGGGCCAAGGTTTCGGAGGACTCGATTTCATTTGCTTCAAAAGACACCAAGAGTTTTCCGTGCCATTCGTGTTGTGCAATGATGAGAATAGGCAAGATGAGACTTAAATAGTGAAGCCACCTGGCCTGAAACAGCAAAGAATGAGGCTATCATGACACTCAGAACTGGCTATGGGGTATGATTTGGAGACTTATGCAATCTGCCTCATCTCCTGTAGATGAGGTCTTCACCCGGTTCTTTACTTGTCTGTGCCTTGCAAAATATTCCTACTTGCAATGGTTCACAGCCCATTCATCTAGACAGGGCATCACTTAGAGACTGTCTAATGTTGGGCAACACAAGTTAGAGGGCAGTCGGGTATTCCACATTTACCATTTGTGATGCAGGGAACTTGAATCGTCCGCACATTCGACGCATCACGACCAGGAAGTCGAGCATTGAACGCAAAGCACGTATATCCATTTGCCTGTATTTCAACGCAGTGACCAGTCTTGTCTGCTGCCATTGTTCAATACAGCGGTGTTCTATCCGGACACCTCTGTAATATGCGACATCGCAACCTCTCCCAATGGGAATTACCACAATAAGCAGCTCAATTGCAGTCTCTGTATTCGGTGAACCATCGGAAACTAGGAGATTTGCGTTTCACGAAGTTGACGTGCTATTTTAGATACCTTGACTTTGGAAGCGGAACATTTTTTGTCGGCCGGGGTTTCTGGGCAGTCGGGAATTTTTGCCAAACGTGGCTTGGTACCTTTTCCGTCGATTTTGTCCAGTCAATCTCGCGAGCAGGGATGTGTGGGGGTTTGAGCAGAGTTGTGCAATCACTAAAATTTATGAACAGCCGGGTATTGTACAATATCGGACCATCATCGGCTGATGATGACGAGCGAGCTCTTCTCATCTCAGATGCACGCTTTTTTATCTCTCCCCTTCGTCAAATTTTCTTCCATCCTCATTCTATATAGAAGAGTCTACCACTATGTTGAATTTGTTTGAGAGAAGAATCATTGCTTCTCCAGCTAGTGCTGCAGAACGATCGGCTTCCCGGCCTCCCAATTATTCAGGCTCTCCTGGATATTAACCCAGTACCGGAGATTCACCGCCTCCCTCTTGGCCGTCTCGATATCGTCGTGCCGGAACGCCGTCTCGAGCACCTCCTCGCTCGCGCGTATCCGCCCCTCGTTGGCCGCCCTCTGGCCCTCGAGCTCGCTCTCGGCCGTAGCCTCCTCAATCTCCTCGCGCGCCTCGAGCACCACCATCAGCAGTTCCGGGTCTTCGACCTTCAGCGTCTCATCATTGGCCACGTCGACGCCGCGGAGCGAGAGGAGGTACTGCGCGCGCAGGAGCGGGTTCGACAGCGTCTTGTACGCCTCGTTGATGCGCGCCGACGTCGCCTCCGCGCGCGTCTTGAGCTCCGCCGGGTGCATGTCCGGGTGGGCCTTGGCCTGCAGCCGGAGGAACTCGCGGCGGAGGGCGCGCTGATCGATGGGGAAGTGGCCCTTGGGCGGCGGGCCGTCGGGGAGGGTGATGGGGAAGAAGTCGTAGTGCGTCTTGGGGATCGTGCTGTCGGGCGTGCTCGCGGCGGCGGCTGGTTCACTGTCTGGTGTCGCCGTCGCCGGCCGTGATAGCGGAACGGTCCCGGACATCCAGCGCTTTTGGCTGGAGATCATGGATGAAACTCCAGAAGCCCATCGTGCATGTATTGTGACTAAAGGACTGCTGGCGGTGGCCATGGCTACTGCGCTGGATGGCCGGGCCATTGTCGCTTGTCGCCGGCATCTCGCGCATAGGCGAGATACGTCTCGTACGCCGGTCTGAATTGACGTGCGCATGTTGCCTATGCACTTGTCTTATTTGTCTTATTTGAACTTCAATTCTGTTGTATACGACTCGAGGTCGTGGGTCAAGGTGGCTGGTTCTATGCGATCGTGGAAGTCGTCGCTGAAGTGTTGCTTGACGAAATTTCGATCCTGCACTCTGGGAGGCGGATTTGGATGACGTCCCCGTAAAATCATTGCCGCGCCAAAGCGAAGCGAAGCGTCTAGCGCCGAGAGCCGCCCCGGCATCTAAGTCCGAAGTCGGGGCATGTTCGGGGTTTCTTTTGCGCGCTCGCGGTGTTCTTTCCACTGGGGTGAGCCCCACTTGCAAAGTCCAGTAGGTAATACTCTCCCGGTCCACTGCTCCAGCAACTCCAACGCCTCTCCACAGAACGCTTGACCAAAAAGTGCCCTGTGATTCGACGACTGGGTGGCTCCTCTGCTGCCCCCAACCCCAGATCAACCCCCCACGGGCCTGGTCCCCGACACCAGACGTACGGGGTAATTCCCGCCGAATGGTTGGCGACTTATTACGATGATGTTCCCGCTCTGTCAGTTGTTGAGATTCTTCTCCATGTTTCCTTGCTGTACTACTAGTAGAGCTCCGAATTGCTATCAATATGTCCAAGATATTCACTGCTGAAGAAGGTCAGTCTGTCTGCTGTGCTTCCCATGCTGCGATGCTTTCGAGTCGATGCTGATACAATTCTCACAGTGGCTAAGCACAACACATCCGACAGTTGTTGGGTGGTGCTCTATGGCAAAGTGTACGATGTGACCGAATTCCTCCCTTCACACCCCGGCGGCTCGAAGATCATTGTAAAGCTTTCCGGCAAAGATGCGACAGAAGAGTACGACCCTATACACCCGCCGGGAATCCTCGAGGAGAACCTCAAGCCCGAAAACTGTCTGGGCACTGTAGACCCCGAGTCACTGGCGCTGCTACAACCTCAAGCCGCGAAAGCGGAATCTGAGAAACCAAAGGAGGGTCCGCCCAGGCTCGAGACACTGCTCAACCTCGACGAGATTGAGGAGGCTGCCACAAAGATCATCCCCAAGAAGGCGTGGGCATACTACTTCTCAGCCTCTGATGATCTTTGGACCAAGAGCAACAACGGTCAGGTGTACAGGCAGATCCTGCTGCGGCCTCGCGTCTTCGTCGACTGTACGAAAGTTGACACCTCCACAACTCTGCTCGGCAACCACGTAGGACTTCCGTTGTTTGTGGCGCCCGCTGCCATGGCAAGACTTGCCCACCCTGACGGTGAACGAGGAATTGCGAGAGCAGCGGCAAAGTTCAATGCGATGCAATGCGTTTCGAATAACGCGTCCATGACCCCGGAGCAGATCATTGAGGGTTCACCTGAAGGTCAAGTCTTTGGATGGCAGCTCTATGTGCAAAATGACAGAGCCAAAAGCGAGGCCATGTTGAAACGCATCAACGCTATGAAGGACCGCTACAAGTACATCACCCTGACGTTAGATGCACCGTGGCCTGGGAAGCGTGAGCTCGACGAGAAGCAGCAATTTGAGGGATCTTTTGAAGTCGAGTCCGAGTCAAACTCCAAGACCGAAGAGGCGAAGCGGCCTGGCGGTGGAGGCGTCGGACAGCAGCTGTTCTTCGGAACGGCAGCAGACCTAGAGTGGAAGACGACGTTGCCGTGGCTGGCCCAGCACACCGATCTACCCATCGTGCTGAAGGGACTGCAGACACACGAGGATGCTTACCTGGCGGCCCAGTACGCGCCGCAGGTGAAGGCCATCATTCTCTCCAACCACGGCGGCCGTGCTCTCGATACGGCACCTCCCGCCGTTCACACGCTTCTGGAAATCCGCAAGTACTGCCCTGAGGTCTTTGACAAGATTGAGGTCTGGGTCGACGGCGGCATCAAGCGCGGTACCGATGTTATCAAGGCTCTCTGCCTGGGTGCGAAGGCCGTGGGCATTGGTCGCGCTGCTCTGTTTGGTCTCGGTGCCGGAGGTCAAGCGGGTGTCGAGCGGACATACGAAAGTAAGTCTTGAAGTGGGAGCCGTGTCATTGTGATCGAGTCGCTAACCTTTCGCCCAGTCCTCAAAGCCGAGATGGAGACATGCATGAGGCTGCTCGGAGCAAAGAGCATCAGCGACCTAGGACCCAAATTTGTAAGCGGCAACACCACAACAGCCAGGATCCAAGACTGTGGTGAGACGTCGGATGCTAACGAGTGCCGCAGATCAACACCAGCGCAGTGGAGAGAGATATCTACGACGGTGAGTCTGGCATCGAGAATAGAGTTAGCCTGTGGGTGAAGTCGAAGCTCTAGTGTGGAAGTTCCCTACGACAGGGAAACAGCTGAAGCGAGCTGATCTGATGTTTGTGTTGTAAAACGGGAAAAATTTATTGGGCCAACGTGGGGTAAATGGCATCATTTGGTCACGAAGCCGAGCGTTTGCATGAAGTCCTTACTACGAGGGTGGGATGTGCCTCATGCTTGTAGCAGGATATGCCTGGATCTTTCAGGGCGTTGGGATGAGATGCTGAAGGGACAAGAGCGGTCAAGGTAGCTATCGCTGGATGTATGTACGACATCAGGTACACCATAGCATTGCGGTTCCGCAGTCGCGCTCAGTCTGAGTAGGATTTGTAGAGTCATACATCATCAATATAGTATAGAAGCAAGCTGAGGGTTCTGGATTTCTTACGTATTTTAGGCTTCGGATGTCAGCCAGTGTCATCATTGTCATCCTGTCAATGGCTGGTCTGAGATGTCCTGAAACAAAACCCTTGGAAAATTGTAATGGAGCCTCCTTTCATTTTTGGATTGCCCGATCCGACGAAGTTTCTCTCATTCGTCGTCCCGAGTCCCGAGAGGCAGAATCCCAGTTGAGAATGTACCGTGGTGGTGGGTAGGCAGGAATGTGCCGCAGCTTTCTCGGTCAGAAAACGTCAGGCGGAGCGGAGCGACTCGAGACGAATTACGTCGACATCGTGTCTGATAGGCCAGGGACCGTGGTGAAGAAAAGACGGCGGCCCGGTGTAGGGTGGTTGGGGAGGTAGCGTGGTGTGCGTGATAATGTGACTCGTCGCGTGAGGACTTTTCTTTACACTATAAACCATAAACTTTGAAGCTTTCATTTCCCCGCTAAGGCCGGTCACGGTACGACAGGGATTGTTGTCTCCCACCTTTCTTCGTTAGCTGCCGGTGACAAGTCTGTGTGTTTGTGAAAAATAGACTTGGTCGGATCGGGGCATCCAGCCACAATTATGATGGGCAAAGTTTCCTCCATGACGAGCCATTGGGGTCCCCGCGGGGTGTCAATGAGGTGATGGGCAGAAAGGCAGTTGTCTTTTCTTTCCATTCATTTCGACGCCTACAGTAGAGTATAAAGATACGGCTGCGTGGGATGTCATCGTCTCTGTTCGTCATGACCCTTGTGTCCTGATGATGTATGGGGTACTGCCAGGCTGGCACAAGCTTCTTGCCCAAAATGGGCTTGGCTGACTCAATCGGCCGAATGTTACATTGGGGAAAGGCAAAAGAACTCAAAAACGGTACTGCCTATCCGTACAGACAGGTAGGTACCTTAGGTCGATATGAAGGGTTGATTGTTTAACTGAGGTGTCGAAAAGAATTGAGACAAGGTAAGGGCTGTGTTCAATGGCAGCTCTTCATAAGGCCATTTGTAATGGCAGCAGAAAGATTGAACACGGGAGCAACGTGGACATCCAATGCTGAGCTTCCTTCGGGTCCGCGAGGTATCCGTACCTGTTGGTAGTGACTTCCAAGGTGGTGGTATATGATTCCGGTGGGTAAAAAGTCGTTTAGGAAGGACGCCCCACAGTGGCTCTCAACCTAAGCTCTGAACTTCTGAAGTGCCCGACTCCACCAATTTGTGACCTCCGTAAGGAAGGCGGGGGCTCTCCAGGTTCCCCCTCAGTAACGCGCGCTTCCTGAGTGGCTCCCCAGTTAGCTAAGATTCTGCTAGTGTAAGTCCCCGTCCCCGCTCCTACCCGAAAAATGCCCAGACTCTGGGGGATGCTGGGGGAGGAATGAGTGGGACATTGGCAGGGCGAATGGAGGCGCGCGGGCAAGGCAAGAGCGGGACGTCGACCTCTTGCCTTTCCTAAGGTAAGGTAGTGGGAACATCAGGTACCTAAGGCAAGTACGGCTGCACGACAAGGTAGCTCACGAGGGCTAAAGGGAAAGAGGGCGAGGCAAAGGTCCTTCCGTATCTCCAAATGTCAATCATTGGCCTTCTGCGTCAAATCTCCGAGCCAATTCATCCTGGTACGTCTGGCTCGACCAATCCTGGCCCATAATCTGCCCATTTTGGCCGGTTACAGCTGCAGCTCCTTTCCGCGCCGCACTGCCTCCGGTTTCTTTTATTTTTCCCTCCCTCTCTCTCTGTTTGTTCAGCTCCTCTATGAAAATTCTGATGCTTTGTGACCATGTGCTTGTCGACTTCGCCGCGCTACCAATTCTTTCGTTTTCGCGCATGTTGAAGCCAAGACTCGGTGAGATTCTCATCAAAGTCAAACCGACAAAGCACCAGTATGCAGTTTGAGAACCTCCATTGGCACTTTGTATATTATTACGGATACGCCCAATAGGTTCACCAGTGGCGCATAACGAGAGAACGAACGCCATCAGCCTCAAGGTCATGATACTTTGATTGGGCAGCCGGGGATACCCTCTCGAACGCTAGAAGCCCGCCGGAGGGCCTCCTAGTGGGCGGCGTCCGCACTCTTGAATCCTTGGAGTTGACAACGTCCACTGGTTTACTCGCCTCCACCTTGACACTTGTCTCACCGAGAGCACCACGGCGTAGAGGGCCGTTGCGTTCTTGGCTATTCACCATTCTATTCGAGGCTGCCAAATCTCAGCCAGTCCATCATCACTTGCCTCCTAACATGATCCAGCTTTCCTCGCAACGGCTGGACCGCGTCTACGGCTAACTTCGTATTCATTGCCCCTTCACTTGCACAGGGTAAATCTCATCAATACCCCTGCAGCATGGGCGGGCAAGCCACGCAGGTCGGTATATTCGGTATATTGCGCCGTGGTAACGCAGAAGGGGAACCTGTCTGAACACCCAGTCACACACAACCAAACGAACATCATTTTCATATGCTCAATCTTGTTCACGAGATGCCGAGGGACCGCACTCCGGTACCCCAACAGGATTGCAACTCTGGTGTTAGCGGGCAAGGGGTCCCCCTACCTCTTCCTCGACACACAATGCGGGGCACCCGCTTAGGTAGGAAGATAGTGTCGACCTTGTTGCTCGGCATGCCACCCAATCTGGCAACGCTGCGCCGGCCTGCCCTTGTAATTCGACCTCCCTCCATCGCAGATTCGGACGTCAAAGATTTGACCTGGCATATTCTTCTGTGTTGGTCTGTGGATAGCCTGCCATCTGACTGGCCGATCCGTTCTTTCTTGTTACGCACTCTAGCCATGTATCCGTTCGATAGGCACTTTCGGCCCATACACACCCACGCTTAACGGACCACATGCTGCGACCTTGCTTGCACTTACACTACACACGATGCTTGCTCCACGCCCAGGTACCGCAGGTCCGCAGCACATCCCAACCTACACTACCCTGCCTACCCTACCGAGTCGAGCTGGGTTAGTCGATGGGTCAGTAAGGAAGGGGAAGGGTTACATACCTGATGTGGACATGGAGATCTCGAGCTATCGCTGCCGTGTGATGCATAGGGTGCCTACTATTCCCTGGCATCCCCAGCTTTTACCCCAGAAAGCATCTCTCTCGATCTTTGTACTTAAACACCCTCGGTCCCACTCGATTACTTGGTTCTCTGACATCCTAGACAAAAACTGTTGGGCTGTCATCGACATCGACATTCAGCGGACAGTTTCCTCCTATCTTTCACTCACATACGTGCATACACACACTCCCACACACATCGGGAACTCACGGAAGTGAAGGATAATTTTTGAAGCTATATCACACGACATAACACGCATAACGAAGAAGTTCAGACAACATGAGTAAACACGACATCTCCCACTCTGAGAATGCTGTCGGTGGTGGTGCTGCATATGGCGGTGGCAAGAGGAAGACATGTATGAGACATTGTGCAAAGTTCTGGTGGCTCTACTTGATTGGTAGTGTCGCAGGAATCCTTCTCGTTGTTCTTCTCATGTAAGTTTCAACAACTTCCCCAGTGTGGTCGAATCCCCGGTGTTCTAACACGAAACTTAGCATCTTCGTCGCCGTACCAAAGATTGCACAAAAGAAGCTCGATGATGCCGAGCTCACAGTTGACGGAATTATCGTCTCCCAGACAACACCTACTTCATACAACATGGCTATCAACTCGACGCTGAGGTCAGACGGCTCAGTCAAGGCTACGATCGAGGGTTTCGACGGCAAAATGTACCTGACGGATCTCCCTGGAAAAGTTGCCTTCGTGAACCTCACGTTTCCCGAGACGAAGTCAGTTAAGCTGCAGACCGTCAACATCAGCCAGCCCATTGACATCGCCGACATGCCCGCCTTCACCACCTTCAACACCTGGCTCCAGAACAACGAGTCTGTTAGAGTTACGGTCTTTGGTGAAACCCATATCAAGGTCAATGGTATTGCCAGGCGTTACGGGGTCACTTTTCAGAACACAATGACCTTGAAGGGTAAGTTCCACGGCCACTGCACTAATCTCCAAGTTGCGTCAATTATGCATCTGGCTAACGAAACCTAGGTCTGAATGGCTTCAAGGGCCTTAATGTGACGGATAACACCATCTCTCTCACACCGGACGCTCAGGGCGACAACTTTAAGGGTCACGTCTCGATCCCCAACCCTTCAGTTCTGACGCTAGAAATTGTACGTGTATGCAACTTTTCTGAAAAGAATCAACACTAACATCAGGGTTCTCAGGGCAACGCATCCTTTGCCAACCTTTTGGACGGCCAGGACATTGGCACCGTCTACCTCGACAACCTCCTACTCCACCCAGGCATTAACAACGTCACGATGCGTGCCAACATTTCTCAGGCTCCCGTCCTTGCTGCCATGCAGAAAAAGCCCGCCTGCGAAAATGGCATCATTCCCTTCAGTCTCCGAGGCAAAAACGTCACCAGCAATGGCCAGAGACTGTCCTACTTTTCCGATGCTCTCTCCTCTGGCGAGGTTGTGACGGATATCAACATTGGTGAATCGTTGAAGAGGTCTCTGAATATCACATTCGCCTGCACTAGCTAGAATCTCAAGCGACTTTGCCAAATCTAGTTTTGCCACGGACTGAACGAAAAGGGGGCACACTATTTGCGCACGGTATCGAGTATGTGTGGCAAGTTTAAGAGTTTTGCACGAATATGAGAGTATTAATGAATTTTATTATGCTGTTTGGAAAGCTCTTGCGACTCGGGGGGAGCGTTGAGAGCGATAGACCGGATACGTTTGCGGCGGTGATGATCTAGCGACCCTAGATACGTATGACGGCGTAGAGCCGTAGAATAGTTGGAATATGATACCTTATTACCTGACTCTATTGCCCGGGCTGAGCTGAGCGCCACTCAAAAACAGATCACATACGAAGTCACGATAACCTTCAACTGACAGCGTCGCAAACTCGCACTCTGTTTTTTTTTTAACATTCGACGTCATTCCATCTCGTCACTAGGACTTCTAGCCTCAACTCTGACGGAAGAGAACAAAGTGACGCATCTACCACACACAACCTGTCGTCCCAAGAAAAGAACAATCCCATCCCCCCCTTTTTCCTTCTCTCTCGGTCCGTGTCCCAGAACTCGACCATCTGACGACAAATGGCGGTTTTCTCAGCACACCCTTTGGAACGCACGAGCGCACAACGTTTCCGCCGGGGCAGTCATCATCTCAAATCAAGGGTATCAATCGTGATGGAAGTTTTGCTGGGCTTTGAGCTATGTAGTATTCCTCTGGACCTCGTTTCTACCTCTGTAGTCTAACCCCCCGCACCAAACTTGCTGCTGGGCGCGGGGGCGCGGCATCAGAGATCCGACAACCGTCGTCAATCCCACGTGCTGAAGATCCCCGCGACCAACGTTGACGCGCGCCTCGGCTTACACAAGACCAGAGGAGAAGGAACGAGACTACACAACGACCCCCCAGCACCTGAGACGTCGTTGCGAAACTCTGTCTCCATTCTAGACTCCACTGCGCGGCAATGCGGACCATGTAACCCCCCTCGAATAATAATGATATTATTTTCCACGGCACTAGTGTACATTGTATGTGTATGTGTGTTTATTTGCGGCTAGGCATGCCAGCACATCTTGATTCCCCTCATTGCTATTGATCGAGCAAACTGATGCCGAGGAGATCGACGGTGAGATAAGAGAGACACCGAGGTCTGCGGCTGCCAATCGAGAAGGAGATTTCGGATGACTCGAGGATGGGTTGCAATTAGAGGATCATGGATGAAATAACACAGAAGATAGTTCGCTTGGCGATGGCCGAGATGTGGAGGATTAGCCCCCAATCAATGACACAAGACGTCTGATAGCTGCATCGGTGTCCTGGAAACTCCCCGAGCAGGTCAACCCTGAGCGGGAAATGGAAATGAAGGAAATGCTGGACCCAATCTGGGGGATGTCTGACAACCTCCCGTATAGTGACCCCTGCACGAAAGCGTGAGGAAGAAGGGTTTGATGTTGGTGAATGATGAGCACCCCAGAAGTCAGCTTGCCGAGTTGCTGAATCCCCCCCCAAACGCCTGCCAAGCAAGAAAGCCATGGCAAATGAACAGCTGAAGCTGAAGCTGAAGCAGCTGACAGACGTCAGTGACCAAACAGCCCGGATGCCCTGCCAAATGGAATTACCCACCAGGCCCAGCCACTGCTCTTCACAGCGCACCCGCCTTCCTCTTCCCTCCACGCGAGACGAGGACCCCTTGCTCGATCCCAGCCGCAGGCGAAGCAGCAGACTCGGCACCCGCTGCGGCAGCCGGCACGAACTCGACGGGCCCGCCTCCCTTCCTCGCCCCCGCGCCGCGTACTTTATCCTGGCTCTGCCGCAGCGCCGTCCTGCTCGCCCACTCCGGCAGGAGATCCTCCGACGTCGGGTCCCAGCCGAGCGCGGGCGGTAACGTGGTGGCGTAGCCCGCGCGGCCGTCGAGGTCGACGAAGGACATGAGCTTGTCCGTCAGGCTCGGGTTGCGGAGGGCGGCGGACTGGGCGAGTTTCGCGTTGAAGTGGACGCCCTTCTTCTTGAGGTCGAGAAACTGGGTGAACTTGGCGCTGAGGGCCGGGGGCGGAGAGCCCGGCGGCGAGGGGGGTATGTCGAAGTTGGGGACGGGGGGCAGGGTGAGGTCGCGGAGGAGGGCGCGGGAGGCAGTGTATGGCGAGGCTGGGGGTTGGGATTGGTCTCCTCCTGAGGGGAGATCTGGGAATTGGGTGTCCATTGGGGGAAGGGATGGGCCTAAAGGAACGGAGTGTTGTTGAACTGGGCCTATTGTTATGGCTTCAGTTGATGGTTGAGGCTCTGTTGGTGGTTGAGGTGCGGCTGCGGTAGGAGCAGCAGCAGCAGTAGTTGATGTTGATGGTGGCTTGACATTATCTGGGAGGGTCGTTAATACGAGGTTGTGAGAAGATCCGGAGTGATTGATGAGGTATTACTTGAGCCTGTGTTATCTTTGGAAGATAGGGGTTTCTCGGCAATCTCAGTCTAGACAATGTGTAAGTGACTGGCTTTCTGAGTAGGAAGGGGAGCATCTATGTGAGCGCACCTTTACATCTTCGACCTCGTCATCTTCGTCACTGCTGGCGTACGCCACCAGACCACCCATTTTATCGACTCTGAGATCTTGATTTCAAAGAAGGTCTAAAGTAGATGTCTTCTTAAGGTAGATTGATGTAAGTTGAGAAGTGAGATGGAGGAACAAGATAAATGGGGACAGGTGAGAAGCTCGCGCTTGAACACCCCACGCGACAGGCGACAAAATCTGGGGAATGCACGCGCCCTATGATAAGGTGTCCGTATTATACCTTTCCTTGTTTACGCAGCCTCCGTAGTCGCATCGCTTTTCATGTTTATCAAAGTTCATTATTTGTCATATCTATAGCAGGACTGAAAACTGCAAAGGATTTGAAAATAGTGAGAGAAGAACTCATTCACAAACCATCGTCAAAGAGTTTTGAGAATGAGGTACCTTCCGTGCTACACCCGTAACCAGCCACATCGCAAACGTGGCTGTTGGATGGTCCGTGCGGTGTCGCGGGTAAAGCTCGGTGCAGTTGGCCTCGTTTCCAGGCGCATCAACTTTAATCTGATAATCGTCACGTCGCAACTTTTCCGCCCCTCAACCCAGATCCGTCGTTCGCATACCAACAGACCTAATTCATTGGGAGAGCGGCCCCGTACAGCGATACTTGCCCATCAGGTTCCGAACTCTCAGAACAAACAGTGGCCAAGAAAGAAACACACGAGTGAAGACCCTGTCGAAAAAGTAGCTCGAGACCTACAACATGGCTCGGACCAGGGACTCGCGCTCACCATCGCCTGCAGGAAGCCAATACGCGAGACGCCGCAAAGACGATGACAGGAGGGACCGCCGTGATGATGGAGGCAGAGACTACCGTCGTCGCTCGCGGTCCAGGAGCCCTGGCGATGTGAGAAGACACCGTAGAGAACGAGAAGGGGACGAGTCTGACAGGTACCAACAGCGACGATACCGAGATCGCGAGCGCGATCGCGACTCTCACCGCCGGAGAGATCGCTCCATAGACCGAAGAGACGACGATTTGTATCGCGGAGGCCGACGAGACAACGACCGTCACAGAGACAACCGGAGGAGGTCTCGCGATCGATTCGCCGACAGAGACCGATCTCTCGACAGACGGCGGCATCGCGATGGCGACAGAGACCATCGACCAAGGCGAGACGACTCCAGAGATCGGGCTCGCGCGAGGCGAGAGGGAACTGCTGACTCCCGTCCGCGTAGCAGGCGCGATGACAGCCGCCCACGCGGCGCGGCGCCTCCGGAGAAAACCAGTACTCCTGGTAATGAGGTGAGACTGATCACCATGCCCTTTTCAACGTTGATCGCTAACTCGATATCACAGGCTGCTAAGCCCAAGCCCGCCCCAGTCCAGACTGAAGCTGACAAAAAGGCCGAACGACTTGCCAGGCTCGAGGCCTGGAAAAAGAGCAGAGAGACCAAGGCCAATAAAGAGAATGAGGTTAATCCAAGTCAGACTAGGAATCTCCTCGCGGAGATGGACAAGAAGTCCGTGGCGTCCCCGGCTCCCGCTTCGCCATCTGTCGCCTCGCCCGCTGTCGCATCTCCCGCAGTCGCGTCCCCGGCGGCATCTCCGGCGCCAACGCTCAATACGTCTGGAACCGCATCGCCAGCTGTGCCTTTTGCGGGCAAGTTCGACCCTAAAGCTATTGCGAAGAAGTCGGCAGCTTCTCATAAGAACGCCGGCACGAACGGTGTACTGGGAGCTCTAGAAGGCCGGCCCGAAAAGTCCACGGCACCTGTTGCACCAATCACTAAGGGTAAGTTACCACTCCCTTCCTATGCAGCTGCGCAACGGGCAGTTATGAGGGGGACACATGTTAACGGCATGACAGCCTCAGCACTTCCCGCCAACCGAAACCTGAGTGCCTTTGGTTTCAGCAAAGCGACTGCCGATAGTGAAAAGCTCGCGAACAAGCGCAAGCTCGATCTCGACGAGGAGGAAGGGACGAAGAGGAAACTCACAAAGCTACCCGCACTTCCCCTCGAGGCTGATGACACCCCCTACGCTGATCAAGATGAAGACGATGAATCGGACGGTGGCAACTTTGCCGAAACGGAAGAAGAAGCTGCTGCAATCGCCCGCGCTGCGCACGAACGACGCGAGAGAGAACTGCAGGAGGCGCAAGAAGAGTCCAAGCAAGATGTCGACATGCAAGATGCTGCGCCAACGCAAACTACTGAGCCAATTGAAGAGCCTCCAGTCGCCGACAAGATGGAGGTCGTGGAAGCCGAAGAGGACGATGTTGATCCGTTGGACGCTTTCATGGCCGATTTGTCGGATACAAAAGCCGCGCCGGTTTCCAAGGCAAGTACATCCACGAAGAAGGTCCAGGAGCCTGAGGCGTACTTCAGTGACGATGAATACGCTTTCAAAGCAGACGATGGCCCGAATACCAATGCAGCTCTCGCCATGGCCGCGAAACGCAAGAAGAAGGATATTCCCACAGTGGACTACAGCAAGATAGACCTACTGCCAATACGCAAGGACTTCTGGGTCGAACCAGCAGAGCTCGCCGCTCTCAGCGAAGAAGAAGTCACCGAACTGCGCGCGGAGCTCGACGGCATCAAAGTCTCAGGCAAAAATGTCCCCAAGCCGGTACAGAAATGGGCCCAGTGCGGTCTCAATGAGCGGACATTGGACGTCATCGCCGGTCTTGGTTATGAAAAGCCTACGCCGATTCAGATGCAATCTCTGCCCATTCTCATGTCCGGGCGTGATGTTGTCGCCGTTGCCAGGACTGGATCAGGTAAAACAATGGCCTTCCTCCTTCCTATGTTCCGTCACATTATGGATCAGCCGCCCATCAGGGACACCGATGGTCCCATTGGTCTCATTATGACGCCGACTCGCGAGCTGGCAGTCCAGATCCATCGCGATTGTAAACCCTTTTTGAAAGCAATGGGTTTGCGGGCTGTCTGTGCCTATGGTGGAGCTCCCATCAGAGATCAAATCGCCGAGCTCAAGCGCGGTGCCGAAATTGTCGTGTGCACTCCCGGCCGCATGATTGACCTGTTGGCTGCCAACCAGGGCCGTGTTACGAATGTACGCCGCGTCACCTACGCAGTCCTCGACGAGGCTGATCGCATGTTCGACATGGGTTTCGAGCCACAAGTCATGAAAATTTTCGCCAATATCCGCCCTGACCGGCAGACCATCATGTTTTCCGCAACTATGCCTCGCAGCATTGATTCCTTGGCAAAGAAGGTACTCAAGTCTCCAGTTGAGATCACCGTAGGAGGCCGCAGTATCGTGCCCGCAAACATTACGCAGATTGTCGAGGTTATTCCCGAGACCGAAAAGTTCTACCATCTCCTAGGCCTGCTTGGTGAGCTTTACGAAAAGGATGAGGACGCCCGTACTCTAATTTTCGTCGAACGCCAGGAGAAGGCCGATGACCTTCTCAAGGAACTCATGACCAAGGGATACCCCTGCATGTCAATCCACGGTGGTAAAGACCAGGTGGATCGTGATTCTACAATTTCCGATTTCAAGAACGGTATCGTGCCTATCCTGGTCGCAACATCCGTTGCAGCTCGAGGTCTGGACGTCAAGCAGCTCAAGTTGGTTGTAAACTATGACCCACCCTCTCACCACGAGGATATGGTGCATAGATCCGGACGAACGGGAAGAGCAGGTAACACTGGAACCGCAGTGACTTACATTTCTGAAGATCAGGAGAATTGTGCCCCCGGAATCGCAAAGGCTCTAGAGCAGAGCGGTGTTCCTGTCCCTAAGCGCCTGGAAGAGATGCGCAAAGCATGGATAGAAAAGGTCAAGGCAGGCAAAGCCAAGGATAACTCTGGCTTTGGCGGAAAGGGTCTGGACAGACTCGATGCTGAGCGTGAGGCTGCTCGTCTTCGTGAGCGCAAGACTCACAAGGCTGAGGGCGAAGAAGACGACGTCAAGGAGGAGAAGGCCGAGGATAAGGGCAAGTCTGCTGTCATCGACATTCAGTCCAAGGTATCAGCCGTTGTGTCCCGTGCCGCCAACAAGCCTGAAGAGGCCAAGGGCAAGGATGTACCGGCTGCCGGCGGTGCCGGAGGCAAGCCGGGACAGCCTCTCGACATGGTCAGCGCAGCCATCAGAAATATCAACGAGCGACTCGGCAAGGCCGGGCAGCTTCGCTCAGGACAGCCCATCGACAACAAGGGCCCCGACGCCGGTGCGTACCACGCCACCCTCGAGATCAACGACTTCCCGCAGAAGGCCAGATGGGCCGTCACGAACAGAACGAACGTGGCCAAGATTTTGGAGGCGACTGGTGTGTCGATTACGACAAAGGGAACCTTTTATCCTGCTGGCAAGGAAGTCCCGGCCGGTGCGGACCCGAAGCTGTACATTCTCGTTGAGGGTGACACGGAGGTTGTGGTTGGCGCTGCTATGACCGAGCTCACCCGACTTCTCAGTGAGGGAACCGTTGCGGCGGCTACGGCTGACAGCCGTGCTCCTGCGTCTGGACGTTATAATGTCGTGTAAATTGCCCGGATTATTGTAGTATATCAGATAATGCCATAGTAGCAATAGGGCAGGGGCGCAGAGGAGTCAATAATAACGCTGGTGCTGATGCCTGTTCTTGATGTTACTTGAATTTGTGGGACAAAACTTAAAGCAGTGCTGAGGGGGCCAATAGCACTAGAACGAAGCGCAGTTTAAGAAAACAAAATGAAGAAATGTAGTCCAAGTAACTTGTGACTTAGATCAGCCTAGACGCCGGCAATGTACTAACTCCAGACCGAGATTCAAATACCAAAACGAAGAGGTATTATCAACGAACATTGTCCACCCAAATCCATTATCTAACTCATCCAGGAAAATCGCTAAACCCGCTTCTCTTTATATCCCTCCCCCTTTATTACGCATCTTTGCTTTAATTGTACGTCCTAGCCTCCGCAGCGGCATCGGCATCGCGCTGTCTCAGCTGCTGGGTGCTCGCGTCCTTGAGCAAATCACTCTGGGTCTGTTTCTTCTGGGCGTTCAATTGCGAGGAGAGCTTCCCTGTTGACTTGTTTGCGGCTTTTGCTCGAGCCTGTTGAGGATTTTCGGG